GCAAACACTGTGCTTTATGTTATAACTGTTGGCATTATTTCATTTCACTGTCCTAAAATTGTGAGCTATGCTTTTTCTAAAGCTGGCCTCAAAGAAGCACAAACATGTCCATGAAATATATGCGAGAGCTTTGAAAAGCCACTACAAGCTGAATTTATCGCTAGTAATTTTGAAAAGTGAAGGAAGTACTTTATTGCTGGTGACAGCATGCGAGTTCTGCATTTGCCTCTGCTGCTGCTACCTGTGAATTATTCCTCTATTTCAATAGTGTTTGTTTTCCACCTGAAATTGTGCTATGCTTAATGCTTTCTGGCCAATGCTACTTGCCGTATTGCTCTTTGGAGAACACACCCAGAGATGGATGGTCTACCATGGTGCTCACCTCTGATCACTGCTGCATGCTGTGCGTGCCCTGGAAGCCCAAACCGAGAGCTGCGAGTAGCTGGCTTAAGACCAGAATGGCCCATTTTGAGTGTCAAGTTGGACCTCCCACACTGCCCAAGCCAAAAAAAAACCCCACCCTAGTTCAGAAATTTCCTGCCTCCAGGCTATTGCTGGTGGCTGAGCCAGAGCCGGGCAGGTTGGAAACCTCAGCTTTCGGTTCAGCATTGGCAAATACAAGAAGTCAGTGAAAGAGGCTCTCTCAGGGCTCTCTGCAAACGCTGACATGATTTTAATGAGCAAGTGCATTCCTCAGGACATGCACAGCTGGGAGCACAGCAGCGAAGCAGGCCAAGATTCCAGCGAGGACCCGTGCCTCTCCGGCAGGTTGAAGTCATGTCAGCCGCAGCTCACTCCCCGCTGACAGCCAGAGCATCCTTCAGGGCCCTGGGGGGGAAGTGGGGGGGAGGTGAGAGCTGCCCCCAGACCCTTGGTGGCAATGCCAGACCCCTCCTAGGACATGGGGTCTGCTTGTCTTTGCAAACCGGGGTTCTCCTTCACCTGCACTGGGAGCCGCGGGATTGCTGTGCTATTGCTCTTGGAAATAGAGTTTTACAGCTCACCCGCTCTTTAAAAAGCAAATTAAGTGGGGGGAAAAAATGGGTATCAGATGCCAGAAGGTTGTTATAACTGCTTTGCTTTATTGGTATTGCATTACAAATGAGAAGTGCAATAGGTGCAGAAACCGTATGAGTCTTGCCTACCGCCGAGTGCACGCAAGTGAGAGAATCCATGATATATCAACTCCTTTCCCAGGCCTCCCCACAGCCACATAAAACATCAGCGAACAATAATACATGCAACAAGGAAATCAGGTATATTTAAAAAAAAAAAAATAAACCAACCAAAAAACAACAAACACAGCTCTTCCCCTTAATTAGTGCAGCGAAGTACATCACTGGAAGACCAAGCTTTTGAGAGTGGGCAGAATGAAAGGGACGAAGCTGCTACAAGATACAGAGGTAGAGAAACCAGTTTGGAGGCTCAGTCCATCCTGATGGCACTAGTACAGCTCACTGAAAGCCAGGAAAACAGCTCAGCTGCTTTCTAGATAAAACAAAGCTAAGAAATATTGCAGAAGGAAAAAAAAAAGGGAAAAGCATGTGTTGGTTGGTGGGGTTTTTTTCCCCTGTATCTCCCCGTATCCAGACAAAGCCAGAGACGCTGATTTACACACCTTGCAAAGACTGTGGCCACTTCCATATAGCAAGTGGCAATCTCCCGCCTTCCCAGTAGCCCTGTGTGTATCACACCGGAAAAATGCCCTCTGAAGAGATGCTTTAAGCAAAAACTGTTTGCCCTTTGCTTCCTGCAGAGCTACATGATAACACTGAGACCCAAGGGCCAGAGCTGGGGCTGGGCTATGACCAGGGCAGTGACTTTCCCAGTTCTTCCTGGGGCTCTAGGCAGCATTTAGGACTTCTCTGAAGAAATTATCCTTTGCCTCCCCACCCTATTGCATGTCAGCAGAGCAGCGGGTGGAGGTCCCTGGACGAGCGGGGCTAGATAAGGAGGTGATTTGGGTTCCCCGACCTACCAGTTGTCCCTCCCCAGGGAGCAGTGGCGGTCACTGCTGCAGGCTGCCACGCTTCTGCAATCCAGCAGCTAAGCCCTGGGAGCTGTGTCTGTGTGTAAAGGCATCATAACAAAAATCAGAGTCAATTCTGCCCACCCATCTGAGCAAACATGGCATCTTGGGTTTGTTCTCAAGTCTGGCATTTCCAAGTGAAGCCCATGATTTATCTGCTAACCTGCAAAGAGGCTTTGCAGGCAACAGAAGAAACTTGAGCCGAAGCAAAGGTCCAGTTTCACCCAGTCTCCCACTCACTGTCCAGGACCAGACTTAGACATCCCCGTGGCTGTTTGGGTCTCTCCTTGCAAACAAACACAGTCCTTGCCAGTGAACATAGTCCTTGCCAAGCCAAAAGGCAAGATGACACATTTTGAACAGTTTCCTAGTATCCAAAAAAATGAGCTGCTCTGGTCTGGCCATGTGGTGACCTGGGACAGGATAAGGCAGAAAAGATGGTTAAAGATGAGCTGTGCTTGGAAATAGCATCATGACCCTATGGCACTTCCAGCACCAGTGCTTTTCTCCATGGCGGAGGCAGGCAAGAGATTTAGCAGAAGTTTTGCTTGGATTTTAATCATCCTTAAAGTCCCCCAAGACAGGGGTTTAGACAGCAAAGAGCAGAAAGGGACCAAATCTCCCAAAGGCAAAATTTCCAGCAGTGGCCACCAGAAGCCATGACAAAGTCAGTCCTCAGCCCTTCATAGGGACACCTTTTGAAACAAAGAAAACCAAAGGGCTGCGGCGGGTGGTGGGACAGCGACAGGAAGGCAGACACATCCTTTCTCCACCTGCAATAAACTACATGTCCAAAGAAAGCAGCCAGCCCTGCCTCTGTACAGAAACCTTCTTGACAAACACCAAAAATCCCAAGAGAAAAACCTCTGAGAAAAATGTTGGGGGTTTTTTTTTGTTTTGGTTTTTTTTTTTTTTGCTTACCGCAAAATATAAACAGAAACTGGTCTAAAATAAGTATTTTTAAGTGCCTAAATCAGCAACTCCGCTTTCAAGGTGGAAAATCTTTTCCAGCCCAAGTCAGCTGGGGCAGGAGGTTGGACTCGGAGAGGTCCTTACTCTAGTCCCCATAGCTGGGGGACTTGGCCATGCCAGTGGGACTGGGCAGATGTGGTGGTGTCTGGCTGATTTGGGGAATTAGGGATGCTTGGGCACTGTTTTGCCCAGAGGTTGCTTTTTTATTCCCGTTGCAAACTGGAAGTGCAGTATTTTACCTCCCATTTGCACTGGTGCACAATGTGATGAAAAGCAGCTCATTGGGATCCCTAAAAACTTATCGACCCCAAGAAACCAGAGAAGCACTGTCTACCAGGAAATCTAATCTAGATAAAACATTTTTTTTTTCTCCTTTTTGCCTTTGGTGCATCTTCAGCTCCCGTTCAGCTTTCAGGTCTCCAGGAACAGCCCAAACTGGTAAAATGCTGAAGCTAAGCAAATCCCGACGGCCGCTGGGAAACATCCCCAAATCTCACCAAGAATTGCTGGGCATATATTTATCTCAGTGGGTTCGGGGGGTATCCACCACGGGATTGAGGTTTCAGAGATGTGCCTAAGGGCAACACAGTGCCTCACCCTCTTTTGCAGATTTGAGCCCCAAAAACGGGAGCTGCAACACACTCAGTCTTCCTCCACAAAGAGTGGTGCTTGGCATGGCCTTCTCCCCACCCAACTCTCACCCCAGCAGCAAAAATAAACGAAAAGTAAAAGAAAAGTCAGGCTTCATATTCTGGATGGATATTTATTTTCTTAACAGATTTTCTTTTTTTTTTTTTTTCTTTTTTTTTTTCTTTTTTGGTACAAAGCATCCAGGAAAGCTTTTACTTCTCTTTTTAAAAAATAAAAACTAGGTTTCTTTTTAAAAAAGACACATGAAAAGGAAAAAAAAAAGTCAATTATTTGCAATTGCTCTGTTTTTATTCTGCCTTCCCCACCCCACCCACTTCCCTTCCCCCCCCCTTTTAATTTGGACCGATTTTCATTCTTTTCCATATATATTTAATAAAATAAATAAAGGATTTTCTTTGTCGTGTATTGCAGTGCCATTTTTTTTTTTAAACAAAGGCTTCATGGCTCAACATTGCAAGGTAATAACAAACAAAAGGATTATACATTAAAATCCTCCCCCTCTCAAGACTCCCCCTAGCCCTCCCCTCCAAACCACGAAATAGAATACAATTCAAGTAGTCTTTTTTTTTTTTATGTTTTAAATGTATGGATATATAAGACAAAGCAAGTACAGAACTGGTTAACAGAGTGTCCCCATTTTATTAGCAAGTGAGAGTATATCATAGGGAGATGTAATTGATTCCCCCCTTTTTACGGTTCCTAGACAGATAATATATATTATTTTAAAACCAACCTATTTTACAGCCCTCTGCCCACCTCTCAAACCCATCCGCTCACCGAGTCCCGAGCCTCAAGCCAGAGACTTGCCTTTTTGCCCCCCCCTCAATCCCGTGCAGCGGTCCTAGCCCTGCAGCCGCCCGGGGTGCAGCCCCCTCTCCTCCGCAGCCCCAGGGGGCGGCGAGGAGGGGAGGAGGGCAGGAGGCTTGGGGCAGGGATCAGGGGGTGTCCGGCGAGAAGGATGCAAAGGGCAAGAGAAGGAAAAGGAGATGGTGGGGCACGGAGCTGGGGCTTCTGCAAGGGCTTCGGCAGCAAGGGCCGCCCGCTCACCCGCTGGCCGGAGCATCGGCGCGCGAGCAAGCCGTCAGGGTGGGGAGGAAGCGGTAGGTCCCCCGCGGCTCGGGAAGCCAAGCTCGGCCGGGGGTCCGTGCAGAAGCAGGGCCTCGAGTTGTAACTGGCAACACCTTCACCATTCAAAATAGTTTGTCTCTAGAACATTTCCCTTTTAGTCTAAATTGTGGTGGTTGTTTTTTTTTTTTTTTGTTGTTTTTTTTTTTATAAAAAAAAAAAAAGGATGCGTGTCGATGTATTTCTGTGTGTGCGTGCATCTGTGTACATGAGTAACAGCCAACTAGCTCATATGGTCATGACCAAGCTATATTTCAGAAGAGAAAAGAAACACATTTATCACACTTTTCCTAAAACGAAAAGCTAAAATTTCAAGTTCAGTATTCGCTATCTTGTCCTTCCCTCCCCACCCTCCCTTGCTATTTCTGGGTTTTTTCCCTTCCAACTTACTTTAGCACCATAACACATTTTAAACATTACAATCCCTCTTCAGATACTACACAAAATGTCCCATAAAAATAGTGCTTTTTTTGCCAAAAAAGTTATATAATATATTATATATATAAATCAACTAAATCCGTGGCAAATGTGCAATGCAGACGCCTCCTCCATTTAAAGTGAGCATCAGCTCACTTTTTTCTTTTTTTTTCTTCTTTCCCCTTTCCTTTTTCTTCTCTCTTTCTCGCTTTCTCTCTCCTCTTCCTCTCTTTCTCATGTCATCGATGATTTCAAAAAGGTGCAAGTCGATTTGGAATCTTGTAATGAAGCACACACACAAAAATGCAGATGGGGGCTCCTCGGAACTTCTTCTCAGGTACGTTTTTCTTTTAAAGGTGCAAAAGAAAGTTATAAAAATAAGAAAACAAAAAAAAAAAAGAAGAAGAAAAAAGTGGGGCGGGAATGAGGCAAAAAAGTTGTATCCCTCAATATTTCTCCCCATTTTATTTCTTTTTCACTTTATTGTCAAGAAAGACACGGAATGAACTCTTCTTCTCGAGAAAAAAAAAAAAGATTAAAAAAAAAAATTTAACTTCATATCCTTTTTCCCTCTTGCTCTTTCTTTTGTCTTCTGGCATTGGCACCGGGGATGTCACGCAGCGCCCGGCAGCAAAAAGTTCAAGTGCCAAACTGTCCCTTTGCAAGTACAGGCTTGGAAAAACTGGGGGGCGCGGGGGAACGAAACAGGCCTGGGAAACGAAACAACCCTCCCCCCCCACCCCGAAAGGACAATGCCACAGGAG